CACTGCACTCCAGTCTGGGTGACAGAGTGAGACTCCAACTCAAAAAAAAAAAAAGTTCTGCCTGATATTATTTTTTTCTCCAGAGAGGATTTCATTTTATTATATTCTGACTGGCAGTTAAAGTAGGAACAGATGACCTTTAATCAAAGGTTCAGACCTTATGAGGGTTTTCCCTTATCACAGAGCAAAGACCTTTCTGTTCTTTCTCAACATGAACGTCTGGGGTGTCTAACAGGTTCCCATCTTTATCCTTGAACTCCAGTTTTTGTGTTCTCGGCTCTGTGAGATTGTTGAAAGTTCTACTTACCATTTTAGTCATTTACCAACTGCTTGGTTTCTTGATTTCTTGTGCCCTTACGAGCTTATAATTTAGCAAATGCCTCAAGGATAAAAGCCAACAAAATGTCAGGCTGATTTCTCTGTGATCACCCTTTCTCTGGGATCTTAGCCTTTCAGTTTTGTCTGCAGTTCTCAGCTCCAATTTTTACCTCTCCAGATCTGAAAGGTTCCTGACACCTCTAGGTCACTGCTTTCTGCTTGCCATAAATTGCCCTTCACATAAACTCAGCAACTGTCTCAGTGAGAAAAAGTAGTATAGAAGTTGTGACTCTCTTTATGTATTTCCCTTCTCCCTGGGATCCTCCTAGTCCTTCATGTCCTGACACCGAAGGCACTAGTTGCTCTCCAGTACCTTCAAATAGCATGTGTGTTTGTTGTTGTGGGCTTTAAAAATTTTTTCTTTTTAGTTTTTACAGTTGTTCCTGTGGGAGGGTTGGTCTGATTAAAGCTACCCAGCTAGAAGGCTGTTGACCAGAGTAACTGGAAGAATGGAGTTGCTATTTCATAATATAGGAAACACTGGGGAGGATGATTCTTGGGGTGAACATTAGAAGCTCAGCTTTGGGTACCTTAAGCTTGAAAGGCATGTTTGTCCTCCAGGTAGAGATGTTGAATAGACAGTTGGACATGGGAGTCTAGCATTTCAGGGAATTGGTCCAGGGTAGAGATAGGGATTTTTTAATCAACAGCATATAGGTGGTATTTAAAGCCATGAGACTTGTTGAGATTACCAAGGAAGTGTAGAGAGATGAGCCCTTAAGCATTTCAATATTTAGAGGTTGGGCTGGGCTTGGTGGCTCATGCCTATAATCTCAGCACTTTGGGAGGCCAAGGTGAGAGGATTACCTGAGCCCACGGGTTTGAGACCAGCCCGGGCAACTTGGCGAGACCTCATCTCTACAAAAAATAAAAAATTAACTGGGCATGGTGGAACATGCCTGTAGTTCCAGCTACTTGGAAGGCTGAAGCAGAAGGATCACCTGAGCCCAGCAGGTCGAGGCTGCGGTGGCTGTGAGTACCACTGCACTCCGGCCTGTGTGACAGAGTAAGTCTCTGACTAAAAAAAACCCCAAAAAACAAATTAATATTTAGAGGTTGGAAAGATGAAGTGTAATCAGCAAAGGAGACTGAAAAAGAGAGGCCAAAGAGATGGGAGAGCAAGCAGAAACACCTGGGAGTTTAGTAATGAAAGTGTTTCAAGGAGAAGGGAGTAATCTGCTACATGAGAGGGACCCCCAAAAACCCCAGAATTTATTTGTAAAAAATTGTGTATTTATTCTTACATGTTTAAACTTCAGTCATCTTCAAAGTACTCTCCGTTTGATGCAATACACCTATTGAGACACTTTATCCACTGCTCCAAAGAGTGTTTGAACTAATCAATTTTGATGACTTTTAGTGCTTCTGCTGTATTTTGTTTTACCTCTTCCACATTGGCAAAACGTTTCCCTTTGAGGGCTTTTTTCACCTGGGGAAACAAAAAAAAGTTGCTTGGGGAAA